TTGAAATTCAAATCATTTATGCAAACCAAAACTAAATATAGCATGGCATTGGTTTCCTATTATTCAATGGGCCACTTGTTCCCATTGGTATAATTCTTTGTGCATGGTCATGCTGGGGCTAGATTGTATTTTCTCAGCTTGATTATGAGACTCTCCTATCAGGCAATATCAAGAGCTTTAAAAATGAGACCAAGTCTTACCTGTCATCTGTCTTATCTTTTGTCTACTAAGTCTGTTATTGTGTCAAAGGACTCAGTTTGAACTGAGAAATGACACTTTGAGTTCACAGTGCATTAGTTTCCATCCGTGGTTTGAGTGATGCATTTTATTTTGTTCTAGAAGTTTTATGTTTCAATAAATAACAGAAGCACTTGGCTCTGTGGAATACAACTTCTCGAGGCACTGCGAAAACTAACACACAGTATTTAACATAATGCAATATTCATGAAAACAATGGCTGGTTGTTGTTGTTTTCTTAATCAGAGYCATCAATTGCAATGTCAACCACCAGATGGGAGCAGAAGTTATTAAATTTATTAGGAGCAATCGTAAAATTTGACATAAACCTGTAAATTATTCTTCCATTCCCTCTTCTTCTGAAATACTTCTGATAGATTAGATCTTTTACAGTCATTCTAGTGTTTATTTGTTCCAGAATATGACTGTGTCTCTTGAATAAAGCTTGCCAACACTAACAAACATATTTATGAAAGATTCAGAAGACAAAATGAGCTTCTTCCCTAGTTCTGTTAGACAATGGTTACTGACAATGTCCCAGAAAATTATCTTGGATTGAAATTAAGTCACAGAAACCAGAAAGGAAGGATTACATGGTGTGCACCAGGAATTGTTATTTCAGACTCAGATCACAGAAGTTACATGAAACTATATTTCTTCTATAAACAAAGACATGCTTTTATTAGGCCTGCTWACATTGAATAGAAATATTGAAAGGTAGCAAAAGTTATAATGCACATGCTTTAAAAAGAAAGAAAATAGATGACAGTATAAAACACTCTTTAAAAATTTCTGAAGATGTTTTTTGATCACTTCAAACCACAAACACAACATGCAGAGAAAAATGCATTCATGTTTGATTACTGTGAATAGCAACCTAAGTTTCTTTGGAAAGGTCCCTTGAGCTGCTCTTCTCATTTTAAAATGTAATGCATTGATAAACAGGGTGAGCCATAAATCTGAATATTCTTTCACTACACATATTTCTGCTAAATCTTTGATCCTGTTAAATTTTTGGTTCTTAAAGCTGTACAGCACAAAAAAAAAAAAAAANGTTTCTGTAAGAAGTGATGAGCTATCACTGGGTACAGCACAAAAAAAAAAAAAAAAAAATATCCTTGACAGGTAAATATGTCAGGAACATCAGCGAGTCCAAATACACATTAATCCTATAGTGAAATCCAAAAAACTTTTCAGTTGGCCTGACTTTTCTATGTGGCTTGAATAAAAATTATTCCAATCACCTTGAAAAGTGCAGTCACTATTCATGCATTTTATAGCCAAACAGCAAATGTGTGATGTCAGCAACTCACTCAGCTAATCCACCCCAGGAATTCTGATATGAAGGTTGTTACCCAAAATGATGACTCAGCTAAAAAAAAGAATGTTGGTTCCTGACCCTTCCCAGGGAAGAGAATTTTGTTTTATCAACAAGTCAGAATAAGTACCTTAACAAATTCTTTCACCTACATGTATTTTTCCTGCTAAGTGCTTAAAGATGAAATTATGTGACCACCACAARGAAGAATATATTGATTCATAATTAATTACCTTGGAGAATCCCTGGCCAAAATCCATTTGCTTRTGTACTGCATTGATATTTTTAGAAATGCTATTCACTTTGTCCTGTAAACAGTTTTGGGATGGAGGAGAGACAATTTTTTAACAAGAAATTATATAGATTTATATATCTTGGTTCAGGCCTCAGACACACGAAAAGTCTTGCCTGTAACCTTAATAGGACAACTATGCAAGGAAAGTAGAATTTACTTTGGGATCTTCCTGTCGTTGAAAGATTTGTTTACAAGTCAACGAGGAATTCACACACCCTTAGTCCAGTCACGTTTCCCCATATGTTTGTCTGCAAACCTTGAACATTTGTCCATCTGGATGTTTAGTCCATGTCAAAGGTGGAATTTTGATAAGTGCCATTTATATAAGCATACTTAGCAGCAAAGAAAATAATAAAATTCACAGTTGCGTTAATCGGAACTTGTAACTCTCCAAGACAGGCTGCGAGGAGAATAACACTAAATGTGGAATTTCTGGGGTTCTTATTTTAAACACAATGTGACAGTACTGTAGCATATCAATGGGTASGAATCAATTGCCTGTGCCTGTTCAATTCATAGTGACTAGTTTCAATTGAGCAATTTATGTAGTGTAAACATTTGTTTTCCTCCTGCAAAACTTATCAATTATATATGGATAAGGAAGTCAGGCCTTTCAGAAAATCTTAGCTCATAATCAAAGAGAAACACAGCCTCAGTCTGCCCTGTCCCAGTTATGCCAAGGATTAGCATCCCTCCCTCCTGTTCAAATGGATATATTGCCGTGGCATATTGACAAACTGAATTTTTCTGATGGGAAAACCATTTCAGGAAAGAAAGAAAGAAAATATCTCAATCTTTCCTGATTCATTACCATTCCCACATAATCAAAACATGATTCTTTCTGTTTACGTTCAACTTCATATTTCTTGAACATTAAATATATTTTTGCAAAAGAGATAATTTCTGTTTTAGGTTTTTTTCTGGAGGTGTATGAGAGCCTTTCTCTAAACTTATYAGGATTAGTCTTTTTGCAATATCATATTTAATTATGGAGGAATTCCTCAAAGCTCTGGAAAATTCAGCATACATTAGGTTGAAAAGAAAATTAAAAAGTCTATAATATGTATTGATAAATGTCACCAGTAAAGATGATATAGGATATTATTTCATATTGTGTTGCAGTTTAAAACCTTTGTATTAATTTGCCATGTACTGAATTACCAAATAAAAGGCCAACAGATAATTGTATTCCTTTACTATAAGGAACACTTAAACTAATTAAAAGCAATGCAGCAAATTATCTAAAACCATTTAGTTAAATAGAGGGAGAGGTCAAACCCAGGCCAGCATCATTTAAATCAAATTGAATTCCAGCTTGAGAATGGATTTCAAATAGATTTTTAATTGCAGTATTTTGCCCACAGGGCATCCTATCACACACTTTTTGTTTACAAGTAAAATCCACCAGAATGTCCTCCATCAGAGTAGTGCCAGGTCTCTCTTCATGACAAAATTTCTGTAATATGAAGTATGTAAGTATGTTCTGAGACTTTCATTCTTTGCTCATTATGCTTATAATTAATTTCTCCAGCCAAACACTGAGTGTTTCCCCTGTCTGAATCATGTCATTGAGCAGAAAAACAGGATGCAAAAGAGTAACACTAGTGCACAGAACCTGCAGGAGAAAGGATGAACCTCCCCAATGAAGATCCCTGACTTTTTATGGCTCTCTGGCAGCACTGCCTGAGCACAGAGAAGCCAAACTCAGATTTTCTTGGGACTTCCCTGATAAGCATCCCCCTGACCACAGCTTGGGGCTTCTATCATGCTTCTAAGTATATGCAAAGCCATCAGTGTTTCCTGTTCTATTCTTCTAGTYCCCTGTGGATTTCAACCCCAGAAAGAAATGGAATGGTGAGCTATAGTGATTAGGACAACAGAAGAGGGACTGTGTTTTCAATACATTTTGGATTTCAGATGGTGGCAATAACTAAACCAGTCTATCAGTTTGTGAAGTTTTTGGACAAAACTTTTACTGAATGAAAAGTAACTGCAACGGTACTCAGTTTTCTACAAAGAAGACTTTTGTGAAATCCTTTTCTTAAAACTTTTGTTATTTACAGTACCTTTGTTTACAGTTTGCTATAATTATTTAAAATTAATTMAATTTCAAATATTTTGTTGTGGGACTTAATTGGTTTCGGGTTCATAAATGAAATGTTCAGTTCCACATATGACACATTTTGTTTCATTAGAAACTCTTTTCTTAAAGGCTACAAAGAGATATTGATGACATGGAAGGTTTATTGGTTGCTCTTCCTAGCACAGTATGCTCAGAGGGAATCATCACAACAGAACATTTTTGCACATCATGTAGCCACTCAGAATTACTGAGATGTAAATATGCTTTAAATTTGTTTATAAAGRATTCTAAAAATCACATCCTGATGGTCCTATCAAGCAGCTGATATCAGTAAACTCACTGAAGCCAGAATACACTGAAAAATGAGGGCAGCATGTTGCAGATACCAGAACAGGAACACTCTGATAACATAGATGAAGACTCTTATATCTGTCTCTGGGTTGGATGGAGACTGCTTKTAGAAGAGACTCCTRCCAGTGTGTGGTGGTGTACAAGAAMAGCACCAACAGCAGGGAGAGGGAGAGCACTTTAAAAAACTGGGTTTGGTCCTCAGCATGACTCTGRAGTTACCAAATCAGTAACACCCAGACCCAGAACAAGGCCAACTCTGCTCAATGGRACAGAAGTTCCCATAATGATGAAGTGATCATGTCATATGAGCATGGGRTGCTGGAAACCAACAAGAAAAACAACAAAAAAAATTGTGTTTAAAGTCAAATCATGGCATGAACAACAACAACAAATAAGCAACAAAAGGAGCAAATTATTTCTTGTTCACTCTAGCCATTCCATGCAAATATCTGCCCCATTCATTTGCATCTGTGAAACTTTAAGGGCTTAGATGTGTTTCTCTGTAAGTATTTGATTTCTAGACCAAAGTTCCTTTCGGAAAATGGGATTTTTTTCAGAGTTAAGCTCCTAGTAAAATGGATCAGACCCTTGTGTTGATGTAAAATTCTGTCATTAAATAAACTTGATACTGAGAATGGCTGTTTTAAATTAATTGTATAATTGTTCATAAACACAATAAATACATATATTTAAAAATTTTRTTATTTACTTGACAGACTTGAATCAAAGGAGCCTTTCCTGTCCGTTGGGTGAGTAGGAATATGTATTTTCATGGCTATTTATATATTCAACAATACAATATAATTTATAAGATTATGCTGAGCATAAACATCCTCTTTCAGCATTATTGTTGTTTATTATATTTAAGCTTAGAAAAAGTAGGTTTTAGTCAATAAKTTCAGCAGTCATGGATATTTTCCTTCTTAAAAAGTACTCTGAAGTATGTTTTAGCTTTATTGACTAAACAAAAGTTGCACTAAAATACATGTAGGAGTTAAATGTTATATTAAAAGGTAGCTAGTTTATTAATTTTTTTTTCACTGACTTTATTTAGAAACAATTCTAAATATCATCTAAACTACTTATATGTATGTAAATCGATTAAAAAATAACTGTTTCCTTTTAAAAAAAAAGAGTGATACTTCAATAACAGAAAGAAAATCAAATTTATTAAAGAGAAAAAAAATCATATTTTTAGCCAACTTATAGACCACTGCACTGATTTGCATATTAAAGCCTTTTTCTTCATAGTGTCACAGCCATTTATATGTTCTCTGCAATAAAATAATACCTCATCATTCTAAAAAAAAAAAACCATTTTAAAATGTGTTGTATTCTAAAAAAAATACCATTCTTTTCTAGAATGTCAACTAGTATATACATTAGAGGTAATCATCTSTATTTTACTTCCAAGTCTGCATTTCACTTTTCATGCACTGTTTTCCTTTCAGCTTCTTTCTTTAAAATATTCCAAAGTGTCCTAACATTCTCCCTCCCTGTTTTCCTTCAGAACTGTATCTTTTTCACGTGCCTTCACTCTCATTTTCCTTTGTTCACACCATACTTCATCCTATCAAGAATATAAACTGCAGACAAAAGATCCCATGCAAAACATCCATTTAAGGGTTAGTTCTGCCATATAATTATCACTGACTTCCAAATTGTTGTATTAACTGCAGAACTAAAAGTCAGCTTCAAATTCTGAAGTGCAAATTAAAGTTAACAAGCAAGAAAGCATGTAAATTATGATCAAAAGTATTCAACAAATTAGCATAAACAGGACTGAGATAYGTCTTGGTTTCTGTAGCATAAAGTWTCTCTGGTTTGTTTGAGTAAATTTGGAATTAATTGTTTGCCATTTCTACTTTYTACCAACTCAAAATTATTGGAAAATAATTGGAGGGGATATGCAGGGTGCAGTGCTCTTGGTTTGCATGCTTTGAAATGCCCAAATTCATTATCAAAATCAGTCTCTTCTGTTAAAGACTCCCATTACTCTGCCTTGTAACTTGTCCCATTGAGTTGGTTTTTTGAGGTCTCCACTCTCGTAACGAAAAGATTACTGGAAAATCTCAACTTTGAGATTAAAAAAAGAACTTGCATGCCACTGTGACTGAGGAGCAAAGTTAAAAGTATAAAAATCCAGGAAACAAATAAAAAAGACAATATTAACAGTTATTTGCCACAAAAGAGTATTTCTGTAGTTCTGATCATGAGCTTAAGAACCATGSTGGCAATTTTAGGATATTTGGGGAYRTCTACCTAGGAGGAAATATTGTGTTTTGGATTTGGGTTTGTTTCCATATCAGCAGATTGGTGGCCACTGTGTAAATCCACATTATGTTCACATAATTATTCTATGTGAGTTTGTCACTAAAATTGATTTYTCTTGGGAATTCTAATCTGAGCAAACAGACTTAACTTTTTTTTCCAGAACCTTTCAGATGTTTGTGTGTAATATACTTGAATTGTTTTATGCAAGTTCATAAGAATGAAGATAGATAAAAACTCCCCAAAATTATTCCCTCTGCGTTACTTTTGCCTTTTACTTCTGTATTTCTTTCACCCCAAGGAGGGCACCAGGGTGTTAGACCATCATGTCTGAGGAGGGGCCCAATTCAACACCCACCTCCTTGGTATTGTGTCAAAGAGATGCTCCTCCTAGTCCCGAAAAAAAATGTTGTTGTTGGTTTTTTTTTGGTTTTTTTTTTTTTTTTTTTTTTTTTTTTTTTTTTTTAACAGGGAATGAGCTCTTGTGCCAGGACCTGTATCTAAATTTTTAACCCAGACAGCTGCAGCCACCAGGATTTTAAAATACAGTAGTGTTTGCAAAAGAAATGCTGAGTTGACTGCAATTAAACTAACACATGGGTGCCCTTAATGGCTCTYGCAGCCAGAGCTGGTCAAAACACCAATCTAAATTACTTTTGGCTGCCCACAGATGGCYTGATCCTGCACACCAGCCTCCCATTGAGCTATCTTCTGTAACAGAGATTTGTTTCCACATTTTCATTATACTGCCTGCAGGACCTAATTAAGCTTTTTCATTTTGCTGTGCCTAAGCCCACGACTTCTTGGTGCTTTTCCATTGCTAATTGTTTTGGCAGGGGAACAGAACACGGCGTGTGGCAACCTAAGACTTCAAGGCTGCCACAGGTTGTTGAGCTCTGTGTGTATGTGCAGGGCTGCACTGTTCCCACACCAGATTCCACAAAGGAAAAATGGTTGAAAAAAATRTTGCATTTTTCCCCTGCTCTTAGAAAGTTGCCAGAGAGAAGCAGAMCCCAGCTCTTGCTGTTGTAGTTTATGTCTCAAATGCAGGGATATAACTCAAATGCAGACCCCAGCTCTTGTACTCCCTTGGTCAAGGCAATTCCATTTATCCCTCTTACTATGCAAAATGCCTAGCAAAGAAGAAAAATCAATTCTCCTTTATTCCCTGTTCAAGACAAGGGTGTAATTTTGCAATGAAGCCATAGTAACTTCTTTAATGAGAGTTTCCAATGGTAGCATTCAGGAGAAAAAATTCATCAGGTTTACAATTCAGATAAGAGTATCTGAATGCAATATTGTGATTTTGGGCTGGAATACAAAGTTGAATTTGAGATATGTGCTGTCTTCCTTTGCCTCTTAGGGATGAAGATAAAATCCTTAGCAGAGCCTGAGATGTTTGTTAGTGCTGAATGTTGAGTGATAGCCTGTAAGGGCACAGGATGCTTCTCCCCAGAAATGTTATTTCCACACTTTTTGGTGATTTGGATCATATTAAACCTAAGCAAGACTGAGASGTGTGTGGACTTTCTTCCATCTTTATATTATATAGCATTCATGTTCATAGAAGTTTAGTATAAAAGAGAAGTTTTGCAAAGAGTCAGAGTGCCTTGAAGACTTTAATATCAGAGGAAAGAGTTTTGGTAAAAATCCACCAAAATTAAGAACACTGACAATGCATCAAATTACCTTCATGCAGAAAATTTTAAAAGATTCARACTTAAAAACACAAGGCTGATCAAGATTCTTGATAAAATGACATGGATACTGGAAAGTGGTTGCTGCAAAAAGAACAACTAAATGCCAGCTCATATTAAGTTCATCTTATTTTGTGCAAAGGATGTACAATATTTTTTTTTAAATATATATTTAAAATGTCAACAGCTTTTAATTATCCACATCAGATCTCCATATTTGGTAATTTGATAATAGTGATGATGCATAATCATAACCGCAACAAAACAGTTATCATTCTCTTGAGATTATTAGATTGGTTATCTAATTATTAACCAGCTATTTCTTGGCAGCGGATTTATCATAGTTATCTGCATGTAAAAGTTTAGCASTTTATAAATTTCAGCTAATACTGCATGCAGATTTGTAACTGGTCATTGCTCTGAGCTTTGAAATGAAAATCCCCTTTTGTAAAACACAGCCATTTTTTAAGGCCTGTAATAGTATTMAATGATGAATAGAGACCATAGTTATTTTGTAACTGTGTGGCATGGTAGAAATTCTTTTAATTAATTCTTTTTGATATCCAACTATAATTGTATGTAACTTCCATAACAATATAACTTCAACACATGCTGCAGTATAAAATCCCATCACACCAACTAATAAGTTTGTCAAACATGTATAAATATTTTTCCTTTCTGTTAGATGATGTTTAATAATATGTCACATATTGTTGAATTCAGAAGAGACGGAGAGAGAGAGAGAGAGAGAGAGAGAGAGAGAGAGAGAAAGAAAGAAACAAGTGATTTTTTTTTAGTCTAGTGAAAGATTCAATTACTGCTAGCTGCAAAGAATGGGATTATTTCTGGATAAGAAGGTAGCAGCTCTACAGTGAGATGGTCTTTGAAAATGCATGTCTGTTTATCAACTGAGATTCAATCTGATCTCTGACTTTTTCAACCTGGGTCTTTTTTTATTGATTGTTTGCTACAAGCAGTATAAATTCAGGTGGACAGCCCAGAGTGTGTGGCCCATAAGTGACAATTAATTCATTGTATGCATTTATTTAATAATGAAGAGTTGTCTGTCATGGAAGAAAGAAGAGAGATACAAATAAAACTRGCACTAGTTAATGCATTTTCTTACATTCTTAGCGAAAATGCTGGAGGTCTGTATGAACTACTACTTTCCTYCACCAAGGTYCTGTTTCTAGGAAGTATTTGACAGYGGAAAATACTGAAAAGCCAAGCTTTTTCCAAGTAACATCCCCGTCACAGTACCTTTTAAACATAGGTAGTCACTTCTACAAGAGACAGAATAATTTTGATGGGTTCAGATTCTTGGAAGCACTTGAAATTGCGTTTAAAATACAAAAACTAAAATTTGTTAATTTTCTTCAGGAGGAACTGTTCTAAGATACACTGAATAACTTGAATTTGTCACTCAGATTTCTTCCTCTTGCTCAGTAGTATTTTCCTTCCCACAAGGTCATTTTGCAGAAGATCTATAGAAAGTTGTGCTCTCCTACATTGGTTTGAGGGATCCCATCCTGCAGAAATGAGATTTTTTAAATTAAAGCCTAGTCCTTGCAGGGTCTGTTAGTATAATACTCAATCTACTTCCAAACTATGCATTTTTTTTTCAATTCCCAGTCAGATTTTGTGGGGGTTTGGTTTGTTGTTGATTTTTAATGGACAATAGGTTGTAGGGCGCAAACCTGAATGTAGCCACCTATCAACTTCTGTAGCAAATACCATCATTCTTGTTCCTCATCCTGGTTATCAGGTAGCACTGGTGGAAG